TTGGGTACAGACACTTCTGGTTCTGACAGTTTACGTCATTTTGTCACGTCCCGTTCTGGCAGATCGCCATGATTAGCTTGATAGTCAAATTTGTGGCATTTTATAAGGAGAAACATGCAGAGATTTGAAGTAACTTTTACACTAAAGACTTCGGGTTTTTGTAGAGGAACAGCTCTCTCGTAAGACTAGCAGGATGGTAGAACTTACGTATACTTAATCTTTTACCCTCGCTTTTTTTCAATCTGCAGGGTATAGGTTCTGTTATATCTTACAATCGATATTTTGAAAATTTGAGGCATTTTTCTGAGGCAAGATTTGGCGGAAGATACTGTAGCGTGTAGAACCTCGGGTTTTCCGTAAGTTCGTCTATCCGGATGGTACCAGAATTTCATCAAAGAGGTGAAGCAGTCGTTAATTTTTTTGTTTTACCTACACATTCATACATACTGCCGAGCATACTGCTAACAGTTGGTGCCATTTCGTGACGTTTCTCTGTCTTTAACTGAAGTAAAATATGTGGCATTTTTCTTAGGAAACAATTCAGGTACCTCTACCTACGGACTGCGGGTTTTCCGTAGAGGGACAGCTTTTTCGTGAGACTAGCATTATAGTAACTGTTCTTTTTGTTCACTCGAGCTTTCTGTTATTTTAGCGCCCTATAAGTATCTCACGAGTCACGAATGACCTATCAGTTCCCCAAGAATATGCCTATTCTAAAGAAGTCAATAGGAATCTGCTCTTGATGTACTTATAAAGCGTAGAAAAAGGACCTAGTCTGTTGTTTCATAAGTGCAATTCGAATTTAAAATGTAACTGCATGCAATATTTCTAAGGAAGGAATATGACTTATGTCATCAATGGAGTAAGGTGCACATTCACCTTTAAACTTCATTAATTTAATACCACTTTCTTCAACACATAAAATCACTGCAAGTACATTTAATAATTACATTAGCATAATTAATTTCTTCATTGTTCTTAACTTCAAGAAGTATCGAATGTAACGCCGATTCACGAAATATTATAAACAATATCGTTCATATAAACATAAAATGCACATGCAAAACGTACTTCTAACCTCACTTGCCTGATTTTTAACGTTTATAACGAGCTGAGCCTCTGACGAACTGTAAAAAGTCGATAGCGTGTAAAGCACAACACAAAAGTGGATGAAAGTACGTTTAAACATTATTTTTCGATTTGTTTACAACGTTTCACGAGATCAATTACATTAGCAACAACATCCTATCAGCTGACTTACTAACAACACTGTCACGAAAGCGAACAGTATCAGTCATGAAACACAGACCGAGTTCCAAGAATTTACTCGATCGCCCGTTTTCGTGTACGTTCGTTTACTTGAAAATTTGGTAATTTTTCCTCGATTTGCATTTCAATTCAAATTTTGCTTGTGTATAAAGTATGGAGAAAATCAAAAATGTATATTAGTTAATGTTCAGTTTTGTATTTGTAACAAATAACGTTTTAAAATGCAATTTGTGCTAGAAATACTTACCCTTCCATAATAATGAATTTATAACCCAATAAAGAAAGGAAAAGTTTGTATATTTCAGCCTTTTTAGCTACCTGGTATTTTACTGTACAAATAGATACGAAAACCAGTGTTTGAAATCGTACCTACTTCAGATGGTTTATCCACCCTTTACAAGTTTACACTTTCAAATAATCGAAGTGTGCTAGACTTTTGTAGAAATCTTAATTTCTCACACTCCATTCTAATTCCTTTGATACTTCTAACGGGTGATCAAATACGAAGTACTTTTTCCAATAGGGATTTTAAAACGCTTTAATTAAGATAGCTGTCATGTGCATATGTGTTTTTTGTTCATTATTAGTTGACATTTCACCATGAATAGACTTACATCAGAATTATTTCCAAAATTAGTGTTTAGTGAGAAATGTTTTTCGTGCTCTTCGACCATTTTATGGTGCTCATAATCGTCCAACTGAACGCATAATGAAAAAATTGTTGCCAAAAATTCAACATATTGATGTAACCGACTTATGGTTTCAACAAGATGGTGCGACGTGCCATACAGCACACGAAACCATGGATTTTTTGAAAGAAACTTTTGATGAGAACATCATATCAAGAAATGGAGCAGTGAATTGGCCAACAAGATCCTGTGATCAAACGCCGTTAGATTACTTTTTATGGGGTTTGTAATGGGGGGGTATTTTATATTGCAACAAGGGAAATCGGTAATTAAATTGGAGCTAATTGTTGGTCAGAACTCATTATTAAGATGCGACAAATATACTGTAAACTCACCTTTCATTAGAAACGTCCCTCTGTAATCTACTTAAGGGGTTGGCATGGCAGCGTTCAGTCTGACTGGTCGTCTCCCGCGCTCAAGGGTCATGTAAACAAATATCGCGACTGCTTAACCGCAATCCTCGCCAATTAATTAAGTAACTCACCGGGGGGCGTTAGCCCCGAACTGGCACTAAGCGCTCCTGGATCTCCGAACACTCCGGTTGGCGATTGGAGTTGAATGCGTCGTTGAAGATGGCTTCCTGAAGGGTTAAGATGGAGCTCATACCTATTTGGGAAAGGGTTACGCCGCGCGCACGTGTATTATTTAGGATACACATCCCGCCGTGGCCCTCTGACTAGGACCCTCGGCCAATAGATCAGTAACGTCGATCTATGTCACTCATTGCCCTACCTGGGAACGACATCCAGGTCGAGCTCACCCCCGAACTGTTTGTGTTAACAATGAGGCCTTTATGTTTCGTATTGGGTCGACACCATGATCTACTCGAGCGAGTAGATCACTCAGCGGTATAATCAACGGGAGCTACCCGCGGGACCGCGTCATAGGCACATGCACATAATGCACTCTAAAAGCCTAGGAATATATCCGGATATCTGCCAGGGGTTTTACCATAGCCCAACAACAAAGCACGACCAGCACGATGGCCTGCACAATACACTCACCACCTACACGTGGGAGACACTCACCACCTACACGTGGGAGACACTCACCACCTACGCGTGGGAGACACTCACATTAAAGGGCTATTACACCAAACTCACTAATACGTCCGATGCTCTACTTAGCATCCCTTATACGATCGTGACCAGAGCGCGTACGCAACTTAACTGCCTTAACACGATCCCTTAAGACCCTTGCACCCATACATATGTGCAGAATCGCGCATACTTGACCAGTCAGCTTGCCACATTTATCAAATAGGGGTTGCGTTGACATTTTACTTTTTCGTTATTAAGGACTACCCTAAAATATGGTTCTTACAGGATATCTAAAATCACTTTTTTATGCCGATAAACCACAAATTATTCCTGCATTAGAAGCGGACATAGCACCCGTAATGAAATTTCGGCCTAAATGCTCGAAAGAGCGCTTGAAAACTGGACCCATAGAATGGAGCATCTACGAGTCAGTCACGATTAACATTTAACAACAAATTATTTTTAAACATTAAATGTGAACCGAACTTAAGTATCAAATACAATTTTTGATTATTAAATTGAATTTAATGCGTTTTATTTCAAAAAAACTTTCGGAAGCTCTTATTGGGTCACCCTTTATAATCGCTGCTTCAGCTAAGATTATATTTTCAGCATTTTGGGAATTTAACTAGGAAATACGATAAAATCAAGGACACTTTTGTGGGATAGTTGCGCCATAAAAATGTTTTCCATGTTTGAGTTTTCCTATTCATCATCTTCAATTCTTCAACGATATCGTTGTTGTCTCCCAGTAATTCTTATAAGCAAACTTCGTATGAGTCTGACTCAACCCTCCAAGCCATACCTACAACGGTAGATTCATATGAGCAAGACACTTTATTTATTTATGTTATGTTGCAATATTTTACTTTATTGTTATAAAGCATGTAGGTTGATATAATGGACAATAAATTTTTTACATTGGACACTGTGTAATTATTGAACTTAACTGTTGCCAAAAAAGGGTAAGATAAGGTTAAACCCTTTTTTAAATTGACCCCTTATCTTTGCTACATTGATTCTACTTTCCCTAATAAAACTTCATAATCTTCATGGCCCATTTTCAAAAAAACTGTGCACGACTTCTGATCTTCTTATAACTTTTTTTAATAGATTTGTAAACAGTTCTTTTTCTTTTTTTTCTAAAAATCAATTTCGTGTATTTTTATTTCGTTTTGCACTCTTTCTATTCTCATTTAAAATTAAAATATGTAATACACTTCACTGTGTCCAGTGTACACACCAAGTATGAAAGTCTAACCTAAATTAATCTTGGGCAACTCGAGAGAACTCTAGGTAGATACTAAAATCTACAGTGGATATTCACCATAACTAGCTAGACCAAACCGCATTACCCCTAGAGAAACGATATAGATGTCGCAACCACAACAATTATAGCCAAATATTTGACAAACAATTAATAAAAATGTATGTAAATGGAGATTATTTTGATATTCGTTTTAAATTTTCCAAACTAACAAGAATACAACACGCTTATATAGGAAATGTACTACCCTTGAGTGAAGGAATTACTCAATGGTACTTTTAGTAAGTTTAGTAGATAAGAAAGGAGATGGATTATATAATCACAAAGGAAGTAAATAAACTAAACTTCTAAAATATCTAATATAAAGTATGTAAATTTTTTGATATCTAATCTTTGAGTCAATCTTACTAAATACTAGGTGCTTATTTTAGAAGTAATAAATTAAAATGATTAATGTCATGACCTACGCAAAAGTGTAGTTTTATCACTGCGTTAAAATAGTAATCTCAGTAACTGATAAAGGAACTTTAAAAATGTAGAAGACTTATTACGATCTTATCAGGAAATGAGGAAATTGAATGTAACCTACTTTTTCCTTTGAGTAATTGTAGAGATTTAAGAACATTATTTAACATAAAATGTAACACCCTTCCTTAAATTCTCCATTTTTTACCACCAGTAGTTTTTGTCCAGGGAATGTGTATGTGAGTGATGCGAAAACGATAAATCATGCACTCAATTTATTTATATTCATATTACATCAAGATTATAATATATTATGTAGCAAAAGGGCTTTGAGCGAGCACGTTGTTTATTAAAGGTATTTAAATTAATTAGACTATTCGGTTATCCCAGGACCCTTTTCACTTTTGCAAATCCTAATATTCATTAATCACGTACATTAGCCGAACACAAAGCTGAACAAAATTATTAATTAACTAAACAAAATGTCATTCCGCTTTCGGCGATACGATTAGTATGTGAATGTCCATAACGTTCGTACCGGTATGGCCGGTTCGAACCAAATATTTTCCATGTCTATATCTGGTATAAAAGCCGTAAGAATCGTTATCTGCCAGAAATTGAGTTGGGTTTATGTTCTGTACAAAGGCGTCACTAACTAAATTAGAAGTTCCAAATGCACCCGCGGCGTCTGTGGGGCCGTCTATTCCATCTGTTCCGCAACTAAGAAATGAAATGTTTGCGGAATCAACGTTCAGCTTGTTAATTTCAATGGAGAAGCTTAGAGCTAACTGTTGGTTTCGTCCCCCTTTGCCTTTCCCTTTGACCGTTACCGTCGGCTCACCTCCAAATATCAAACAGATTCCGGAACAGGATTTGAAATTAAAATTGGTAATCTCGTTAAAGGCGAATTCGGATATACCGAGCTCCGATTTAAAAGTTTCGAGAAAAAGTTTGAAATTTTCACATTCGCCTTTGTTGGAAATAATCAGAGATGCGACTTGGCGTGCGAGTTCCGCATAAATTTCACTAATTCTCCCAACTTCACCTTGCACCCTTGTTGATAACACGAAACTTTGATAACCTAATGCTGTGGCATGCGACAAGGCGGCGTTTGCGGCTATTTGATTATTTCCAATAATGTAATTGCGTACGTGCGGAAACGTCTCGGTGGGATTACAAGTGTCGGTTTCCTGGAGAATCCTTACTGCGTGAACTGGAAGCTCATCGTACAAGGAGTATTTCTTCAGCACCTCAATTGCAACATGCGACTCGTCCAAATTTGGAGTTGTCGGCCCGCTCGCTATCGAACTAATAGGATCATCAATGATATCCGATATAATTAGAGAAACGACTGGTGTCGGATACGCCAATTTCGCCAATCCGCCACCTTTCAAAACCGACAAACGCTTGCGTACCGAATTTAATTCGCAAATGTTCGCCCCGCGCTTTGCCAAACTTTCCGTTATATTTAATTTTTCCATTAACGTCAGCGGATGTTTGGGTAATGGAAGTAGGGCAGAACCGCCACCGGAAATTAAAACTAGAAGTAAATCATCGACTTCGAGTTTTTCGATTAAGCCTTTGATCAGTCTCGCGCCCCTTTCTGCGTTCTCGTCGGGAAGGTTGTTGTGGGCGCCCTCTACGAAGCGAATACGCGAACTCTTATCGCTTTTCATCGCGCCGAAGGGGACGTTTACTACACCTTCCCTCAAGTTATCGCCCAAGATCTCTTCAATTTCGCGAGCCATATCGAACGCTGCCTTACCCATACCGACCAGATAGCACGGCCTTGTCAGGTTGTAGATATCTTTACACACGATGAGTTTGTTAGCTTGCACTTCCACACTTTTACGGAGCAAATGCTTCGGATTAACCGAACTTACTGATTTGAGGAATATCGACGTTAGAGTTTCCGTGGTCGGGTTGGACATTTTTATTGTATTGAAAAATTGAACAGTTAACCTCATTATATATCACTTATTCTACTGAAATTTATCAATATAGATACTTATGCCATCTCTGTGCTAAAGTACGCATTCCCATTAACCAGAACCGGAATAAAGATTTTTGTGCCTATATTAATTTTTCAGTTTCCAGATTCTTTTAGGGACTTACGTGACTTTTTCTTCGCTCTCTATAGCTATGGAAGTTCACTTCAACTTCTTGTAATAAGAAGGCGAAATTTCATACGATAATAATAAATGTAGTTCCACGGAACTACCTACATTTCAACGAAATTTATCGATGTAAAAAGGGCTAATGCATATGTAATAAGTATATCACTTCTCTGTACGGTTTTCCACATTTCCCTATTCTCATGTACTAGCTCCGACGCTCCGAGACTGCTTCGTTTGTTACCCTATCCATCCAGCTAATCCTCATTATCCCTCTATAGCACCACATTTCGAATGCTTCTATCCTACTTTTGTCTTCCCTGCCTATCGTCCAGGTTTCGCACCCATATAATCCAGTTAAATTGTATTTTTACCAGGAAAGTTGTGGGGTAGTTTTGATTTCTTTGATTCTATATGTTTTTTGGGGTGCTGAATCCGAATCTGAGGTTTGCTAACAAAATTTCATGACGCAACATTGAAAAAAATACAAAAGAAGTTGAAAAAGATATTTTTTTGGCAGTTTTGTGCTTATAACTTGAAAACTATCAACTTTTCGAAAATAACCTTCCTATTCAAAATTAAAGTACATAAAATTTCCTACAGATTCCACTATTTAGTTTTTTCCTCGATAAACCGTTCGGGCTCAAGCGCCAGTTGAAAACTGGCGTATTTCGGCTGTCTCCACAAAACATAGTTTTTTCGCACTAAAACCCTAAATTAATATTAAGCGTTGTCAATAAGTGAATTCCTTGCATTTACCTAGCATTATTTGAATTTTATATGTAAGGGTGGTTTTTTCTCATTTTCATAACGTTCAAGGTGTTTATTGTAGTCCAGAATTGTATGAAAAGTTAATTTCTAACGAACAACAGTATATCATATTATTATATTATTTATAATATATAATACTTATACTGTGCTATCTAAAACTATTCCCACTCTCTTCCGAACCAGATAAAGAAATCACAAAACCCTACCGTAGCATGTTTGGATAATTATTGTTGAATTTGGGAAAGTGGCACTGTGGTCATTATTAATTCAAAAAATTCAAATGGCAAAAGGGGTATATTGATTTCCTATTCAACGGCATTATCCCTCTTGCTCCGGTGTTCTGAAGAATTACGTACTCCTCGGTCGGAGTGGGGTAACCCCAGCTTAAATTTGTCTGCTGACAACTGAACCCGATTTATTTCTTTTCTGTTTACATGTTAACCAGCGACAAAAAGCGAGTTCATGATTTTGGACTGTCCTTCCGTCCATCTGTGTAACTTTGTGCGCTTGTGTATGCATGTGTATGGGAGGAGGGCCTCTAGACTGCAAACGCAGGTACACGGTGACGTAATGGGCCTTGGCTCATCTGTGAAGGAGTGGGAGAGTTTTCTACCAGACGGAACAGTTATAAAATCTTTTGAGGAAACCCGTAGACAATGAAAAGTACGGATTTATATTTGCACAGATTAATAATAAAATAATAATAAAAGATGAGTATTTGCGGATACAGCCGAAATACTCCAATTTTCAATTGGCGCTCGACCCCGAAAGGTTCATCGAGGAAAAAAACTAAATAGTGGGGTCTGTAGGAAATTTTATGTACTTTCATTTTGAATAGGAAGGTTATTTTCGAAAAGTTGATAGTTTTCATGTTGTAAGCACAAAACTGCCAAAAAAATATCTTTTTCAACTTCTTTTATATTTTTTTCAATGTTGCGTCATGAAATTTTGTTGGCAAACCTCAGATTCGGATTCAGCACCCCAAAAAACATATAGAATCAAAGAAATCAAAACTACCCCACAACTTTCCCGCTAGATGCCCGTTTGAGCACAAATGGCTGTATTAATATAGAGCTACACTCCCTATGTACGTTTTTAGCAGCCTTTTCCTATTCCTGTATTTATCCCGGATCTTAGCAGATCCCGCTTTTGTTCAAATCCTTTTTTAGCCTGCGCTATCCTGGATTTTATGTCTTCCTTGCTACGATTATCTTGTGTAACCTTACTACCTTAATAGCAAAATTCCTTTACATGCTTTAAAGTGTCGTTTCCTATTCGGACCTTTATCTTTTTCCTATCCTTTCTTTTCGGCATTTCATTACTTTTGTTTTTTTTTTCCTTGTTGATCTAGTATTTCCCTCCATACCGTTTAATCCTGTTTTTAGATCCCTTTCCCTTTCTGCTAGTATTACTATGTCATCCGCGTATCTCAGAAGCATTTGTATTGTTTCGCCCTGAACTTTGAGCCCTATTTATCGCTTCTTCTATGTAAGGGTTAAATATTGCCGGCGACAAAGCGCGGCCCTGTCTAACACCCCTCTTCAGTTTTGCCGCCGCCTCCTCATTTCATTTCATTTTATTTCATTTTAATATTTATGATGCTGGGCAGAATACTTTCAAAAAGTATTTGAATACTAAATAGTAAATACTTTACACAAATTAAAGGTATTTGAATACTAAATACTTTTACGTCCAGCACAAGCGAATACTAGATACAGATACATTGAAAAGTATTCAAATACTTTAAAAAATAAGTATTCAAATATAGAAGTATTCGAATACTTTCAAAAGTATTCTAATACTATCAAAGGTATTCGAATACTATAAAAAGTATTCGAATACTTTGAAAAGTATTTCATTATCTTACTTTGAAAAGTATTCAAATACTTGTCACTCAAATACATTAAAAATTTAAAATAGTATACTAGATAAAAGGCTTAATACTACTTAAAAAATCAAGTTATACTTTGTATGGGGTTAGCTTTTTTTATATTTCTATTGTTATATACAAATTTAAGGGGAGTAAAAGCGTATTATTATTATATTATTATATAGGAGGTACCTACCAGGACCTTTCTTATACCAGTTATATCCTTAAGAATACGTGTACCAGTTTTCAAAGCGTCGTGCACATGATACGTACGCCTTTCTGAAATTAATCCTAGCGATTTTGGAACAGATCCATTTTTGACCATCCGTTTGTCCGTGTGCATGATAACTTGTTTAGAAACGTGCGATCGCTTTGAAAATTGGTACACATGGTCTTAAGGATATAAGAAAGGTCCCTATTGTTTTTAAGTTACGTAGACTATCGAGTTCGGTATTCAGATGTATCGGATTTTTATATTTGATTTTGTGACAATGGAAACTTTCCCTAAACATTTCTAAATTGTTCTCAAATATTTGAATAACTTAAAAGTACTGCCTTTTTTTGAGGCCGGAAAAAAAATTGTCTGAGATCGACCGGGAAAAACATTTTCTTATAGAATGTGGCCTGTAGAATCCATAATTTCAAACAGTTCCAAGATTGGGCTACTAGTTCAAAAGTTACAGTCCTTTGAATTTTCTTTCGAAATTGGTTTCTAGTCTATAACTTTTGATTGAGAAGTCTAATCGAAAAAGTACGAATTGTTTTAGATTCTACGCACCAAAATTAATAAGAAAAAATGTTTTCCCGAGAAATTTTGGTGTAGTCGAGGAGTGGGACTAGCGAAAGACCGAAATTTAGTCGCCGATACGGTCTTAACATCTTAATCTGTCCAAGTTTTTCCTTAAACAGGTCTCATTTGGAAAGCACGCATATAAATTCGAAAAGTAGGCAACAAACAGGGTATGTTTTGCCTTCAGCTCACACATAAATCCCCTGACAAGGCCGCTTTTGCTTGAAAATGGAAATGTGAGTTCTTTCAGCTTTCATGCCATCATAAACGTTTAATGTAAGTACTTTACGTACTCAATAATTAATATCTTAATGTATAAAAACTTAATAATATTAATTATAATGAAAAATACATTGTGTGCATTAATTTCTTTTATGAGGCACCATTCTTTTACGTAATTTTGAAGTGAATGTGGAAAATTAATTAATCTATGAATCAAAGGTTTTATAAAAGTTTTGTTGTGGGTTGTTTGTGTTACCTTTTCAGTTTCTTCTACACTAATAAATGTGCGCATTTTTTACGAAATGTTTACTTATTCTTGAAATATCCCATAGAGGAGCTTTTTTTAAATGTTCTTCGTGGAGTCCTGTTAGGTATACTACACAAATGATTGGAAAACTTTTAAGAAGTTCATCAGATCTTTCTCAGATATTCTGCAAGCATATTGTTCCCTGTTCTCAGAATGTTTAGATCTTTGAGGGAGTCTCAAATTCTCATAAAAATATTTTTCAGAAAATGTTTAATCATTTATAACATACTCTCAAGATATTCTTAAGGAGAGTTTCTACCTAGCGCTCTTTTCACGAATTCTTCGCAGGTTTTTCAAAATTCCCAAAAATTCCGCTTAGTCTCTTTATGATTACTACTGAGATTCGTGAATTTTACACAGATCGTTACCGGTACCACTAAAATTGCTGAGAAAATTTCTGGAAGGTTTGTAGAAATTCTGAAAAAAACAATATAAAGCAATGAGCGGGTCTTTTACAGATTTGCGCATGGCCATTTGTTTCGAACAGCAGCCTCGAAAGCGGTCTGTAATATCATTTTAGGTCCACGATCGCTGAGAAATTCCCGAGTGAGATCTTCTAAAAAATTCCATTGTAGACCTTGCAAAACTTGTGTAGGATCCTTACAAAATCTCTAAAGAGCGCATAACATCTAAACATTTTCTGGAAAACATCTAACACGCTGTGTACACATTTGAAAAATAATAAAAATTCTTGCAAGTATTATTATATTGTAGGTACATAGTCTTTCAATAATGTTTGTATCTATGGCAAAAATCGGTGTTTTCCTAAATCGCTAAAAAGGAAAAATTATTGCCACAATATGGCAAATTAGAACCAGCTAAGTCTCACCCTCAGAAACTTAAGTTGTACAATTGAGTTAAGTGGAAAAACCGATTAACGTATTTGCGCCACACCACACGATGAAGCAAGT